TTTCATTTTTTAAATGTTTTGGGGCATTTGTTTTAAAAAATGTTTTTTAAAATCGGTTTACAATTTTTTTGCCCCCCCCCCCCCCTTTCAGAAGGCTGCTTATCTGGTACACCAGATTGCACACCATGAAGACCATTGACAATGAGGGACATCAACTTTGTAATAACTTGAGTCCTACAAGGCTGCACGTAGGATTTTTAAAGGAGAGATGTATTCCTTACTTTATAAAATGTTGAGTAAACTTCATTTTCAGCCTGTGCCCAGACAGGGACTGTAGGAGAGAGAAAAAATCAATGTAGCCTCTGATTGAATCGTTTTACCAAAGAGGCCTTAGGTCCTAGAGGAGGTTAAGTGTAACCAAGAACGTGCTTCAAAATAATGCACTTGGGTATTGGTGCTTAGGAGGTCCTGAATAGGATTCTAGTAATATTCCTTCTTCTAATATTAGTTCGTCTACTTTAATCAATCCTAGATCATGCCATTAAAGTGTGTGGTCCCAGAAATATGCCTTTCTAGATAATACCTAAAGAGGGCATCCTTGCACCCAACAAAGCAAGTACATCTATTTTAAACAGCTTTGCCTTTGCAGAAAGTATTAGAATGAATTGTGAACTTAGAGTCCCAGGAAGACTTCTTTCTAGATTACACCTAACTAGTGCATCCTTGCACCCAACAAGGGAGATACACCTCCTTTAAAAAGCCTCTGCCTTTGTAGCAAATATTCATTTTAATTGTGAACTTTGGGTTTCAGAAATATGATTTTCAAGATTATACCTAACCAGTGCATCCTTGCACCCAATGAGCCAGTTACACTTCCTTTAAACAGTCTCTGCCTTTACAGCAATTATTCGTAATATTTGTACACTTAGAGTCCCAGAAATATTGTTTTTAAGATTATAACGGCGCATCCTTGCACCCAGCCAGCCAGGTACACCTACCCTAAAGAGCCTCTGCCTTTACAGAAAATATGAATATTAATTGTAAACTTAAAGTCGCAGAAATACTTTCAGGGTTGTAACTAGGGCATCCTTAGAGCCTCTGCCTTTAAAGAAAATATTAATATTAATTGTAAACCTAAAGTCCTAGAAATACTTTCAAGATTGTAACTAGTGCATCCTTGTACCCAACAAGCCAGGTACACCTACCTTAAAGAGCCCCTGCTTTTAAAGAAAATATTCATATTAATTGTAAACTTAGAACCCCAGAAATACTTTCTAGGTTGTAACTAGTGCATCATTAGAGCCTCTGCCTTTACAGAAAATATTAATATTAATTGTAAAGTTAAGAGTCCCAGAAATAATTTTAAGATTGTAACTAGTGCATCTTTAGAGCATCTGCCTTTACAGAAAATATTATTGTAAACTTAGAGTCCTAGAAATACTTTCAGGGTTGTAACTAGTGGGTCCTTGCACCCAACACACCAGGTACACCTACCCTAAAGAGCATCTGCCTTTAGAGAAAATATTAATATTAATTGTAAACTTATAACCCCAGAAATACTTTCAAGATTGTAACTAGTGCATCCTTGCACCCAACAAGCCAGGTACACCTACCCTAAAGAGCACCTGCCTTTACAGAAATGATCACGATTTGTAGAATTTGTATAATCTAGAAAGAGATCTTTCTGGGACACCAACTAGAGCATCCTTGCACCATACAAGCCAGTTACACCTCCTTTACACAACCTCTGCCTTTACTGCAATTATTATTATTATTATTTGTATTATTATTATTATTAATGATGAACTTAAAGTCCCAGAAATATTGATTTCAAGATTAAACATAACTATTGCATCCTTGCACCATACAAGCCAGTTACACCTCCTGTAAACAGCCTCTGCCTTTACTGCAATTATTATTATTAATGGTGAACTTAGAGTCCCAAAAAATATTGCTTTCCAGGTTAAACATAACTACTGCACCTTTGCACCCAAAAAGCCAGGTACACCTCCTTTAAACATCCAGATTTGTTTTCCTTTTTATATTTCAAATTGCCATTTCACTTTTGCAGTCAGTAGCTTGAAACTCTTAAAGCCCTGATCAGGGATTTCTTTTTTTTTCCCCACTTTTTTTCTATTTTATTTTACCAGATGTTTGAGTTGTCAGGGTCTTGCTTTTATCTATTGTGGTAGAAGGGGCTATGGGGACAAAAGAGCTCCCCATTTCAACCTCCTTTCACTCTATTGTCTAGAAGCTGAATTCTTTGACATTATCTTGGAGGTAAACCTCTAGCATCCTGAAAACAAAGGCTTTAGAGGCGATGAAACGAGGCTTCACATACTGCATTCTAGCGGTTATTAAAGCGCCTACTTTCAAAGACAAGGAACCGGGGCAACGAAGTAGAAAACCGGCCTACCAACCCCAGCGTTGTCTTAAATTAATTTGCCATTAATGCGATGTATAGAACATTTCGCTTGTAACTGCTATTTACCATAACTGATTGCACCGCTAGCGCTAGAACTTGGGCGATTTAACCCATTCGTTGCAGCTGATAACAAACTTCACCGAAGTGTTTTGGGGCGCCTGGCACAGCAGATTCTGATTGTTTAGCTAGAATCGGGGGAAATGAATCATTTTCTAGGTATCCCAATGTTGTTTAGGTGGCCGCCACTCTAGCAACGAAAGCTAACTATGTACATATGTTTAAAATGTGTCTTATAAAATGCAAAAATAGTTTAAACGTTGATTTTCTGTCTATGTTTTTTAATGCTGCCCAGGGAAATATTTTTCATATCGTTTTAAAGTGGCCTGACTCAGTGTATATTTATTTCTTTGAAAAAAAAAAACAAAAACAAAAAAAAACCTTCTGGATTTTTTTTTCTTTCCTGTCAAGTTGAACAAAATGATGGCTGAAATCTATATAAAGATGTACAATTTTTGTTTCCAACTCCTGGAACAATTTGTTTTGGTATATTTTGAATGTGCTTGTGGGGAGAAATAAAATACAGATATCCTTATATATTTATGTTAAAGTAATATTTTATTATCTACATAAAACCAGAAAATGCAGATTATCCTGACGGTTTATGGAATCGTTATTTTGTCTGTTCATCTGGTAACATTAATGTGTAGAGTAGGGTTATTTTGATTTCGATTGCATATAAAAAAAAATAGAATAATAGAATTAATTGAACAAAGAAAGTCCGCATAATGATGCTTAAAACGCCGATTTAGGATATGACAGCTATTGTAACTATTAGTGATCAGGACGCACAATAATCAATATATGTACAATATAAGTGATCACAAAAGTTTATCTTGTACAAGTTAATTTAATATGGTTATTTATTCTGTTTCTCTCTATTTGATAAAGCAGTTTTAATTTTTATTGTATTATATATGAATTGTAGACGAGCAAGGTTCTATCTATCTATCTATCTATCTATCTTAAAAAAAAACCTTCTGGATTTTTTTTTCTTTCCTGTCAAGTTGAACAAAATGATGGCTGAAATCTATATAAAGATGTACAATTTTTGTTTCCAACTCCTGGAACAATTTGTTTTGGTATATTTTGAATGTGCTTGTGGGGAGAAATAAAATACAGATATCCTTATATATTTATGTTAAAGTAATATTTTATTATCTACATAAAACCAGAAAATGCAG